ACAACATTTAAGAGCTCTACAATGAAAATTTTAAATCTTTAAAGAAAGAGATTGAAGAAGACATCAGAAGATGGAAGGACCTCCCACGCTCATGGATTGGAAGAATTAATATTGTGAAAATGATCATCCTACCAAAAGCCATTTACAGAGTTAATGAAATGCCAATCAAAATCCCCATTACATTCTTCACAGAGTTGGGAAAAACCATCCTAAGATGCATATGGAAGCACAAAAGACCTCGGATAGCTAAAGCAACCCTGAACACTAAGAGCAATGCTGGGGGAATTACTATACTAGATTTTAAATTGTATTACAGAGTTTTCGTCATAAAAACAGGATGGTACTGGCACAAAAACAGACCCGTAGATCAATGGAACAAAATTGAAGACCCAAATATGAGTACATGTGATTTCAGCCACCTGATATTTGACAAAGGGGCCAAGAACATTCACTGGAACAAAGACACCATGTTCAGCAAATGGTGCTGGGAAAACTGGATCTCCACCTGTAGAAGAATGAAACTAAACCCCTATCTTTCACCCTGCACAAAAGTCAGTTCCAAATGGGTCAAAGACCTCAATGTGAAGCCTGAAACTCTGAAACTTTTAGAAGAATACATTGGCAATAACCTACAAGATATAGGTGTAGGAAAGGATTTTCTAAATTGGACATCAATTGCTCAGGAAACATGGTCAAGAATCAACAAATGGGACCTCATTAAACTAAAAAGCTTCTGTACATCAAAAGAAGCAACCAAGGAAGTGAAGAGAAAACCCACAGAATGGGAGAAAATCTTCACCAGCAACACATCTGACAGAGGTTTAACATCCAGAATATATATGAACTCTAAAAACAAAGAATTAAGAAAGGAAATAACCCAATTAGAAGATGGGCTAAGGAGCTGAACAGAGAGTTCTCAAAAGAAGAAATAAAGATGGCTAAGACGCATCTTTAAAGGTGTTCAACATCATCAGTAATTAGGGAAATGTAAATTAAAACCACTTTAAGATTTCATCTTACTCAAGTCAGACTGGCTAAGAGAATAAATGATACCAAATGTTGGAGAGGATGTGGGGAAAGCTCATCCACTGCTGGTGGGGCTGCAAACTTGTTCAACTCCTATGGAAAGCAGTGTGGAGAACTCTTAAAAAACTACAAGTGAACCTACCATTTGACCCAGTTATACCACTCTTTGGCATATACCCAAAGAACTTATTGTATTGCAGAGACACTTGTACATCCATGTTTGTTGCTGCTTCCTTGTATTGATCTACCACCTCTTTTACAATTTTTCTGCCCCCTTTTCCACAATGATCCATGAGCCTAGTTCATTTATACAATGTAATATTATTCAGCTGTTAAGAAAGATAAAATCGTGAAATTCTCAGGTAAATGGATGAAACTAGAAACTGTTAGACTAAGTGAAGTAACACAGACTCAGAAAAAAAAAATCGACATATGTTCTCCCTCATATGTGGATCCTAGCACCAAATCTTTATAAGTGGGTATGTATCCAGACATAACTACAGGAACCAGGATAATGAAAAGGAGCCAGGGAGGTAAAGGAAACTAAAGAATCTAAAAGAGAACAGTAGGAAACAGGTGTTAATAAGGTAGATATGAATTAAAATGGGGTTATTTTAAGGGGGGAGGGAGGGCTGTACAAGGAACATTGGGGGTAAAGGGAAAGAAGGAGATCAAGAGAGGTGGGACCATAGGAGAAGGGTATTATAAAGGGAGAAATGGGAAAAATGGGGGAACTTGAAATGGGAAACCCATGGGTGAAAGGTTAAACAATGCGAGATAAATAATATTAATAGAAAACCTGACAAATTATACATACAACTAGCTCAAGGAATATAATACATGTCTAGGCAAGGTTTATCTGAGAATATTTGGTCTTTGCCAAAGCTTTATCTACATAGCACATGGTAATTAAAAGTACCAGACTGGTAGAACTAACATTGGTAGTTTAACAGCTATATTTTGAGGCCTATACTAATTTGGTCAGAGGGACATAAAGGACAGTTTTTGTCCCTTGCTTCCCAAGGTCGACTAAGTTTCAAGGGACTATGGAACATCTCTCAAAATGTCCTGAGTCACCTGTTCTCTTGTTCAGGGAGGCCATGAAGACCCCATGAGATGGACTTGAACCAGTGTCCAGTCTACAAAGAGGAGGGTCAATTCAGAGGAAACATCTCATCCATGCTTCCAAGTGAAGCCAGACATGGTCCAGCAGGACCTTTTACTTATCTTCACATAGATGGAACTGGTAAAAGAAAGGAGCCAGGGGCTCCTCCCAAGCCCATGTGACCCCTGAGGACCAGGTCCTCAAATGACCTTAAGTGTAAAACTAAATCGATTTATTTGGGCCAACTGTATGGTCTTAAACACCTAAAAGGAATATTTTAAGAGTCCATGTGTATAGCTAAAAGCTACATAACAAGAAAGAACACCAGACAGGAGATATCTTTGTTTGAGTTATTGGTCAGGGTGGCCCAAGAGAGTCCCAGACAGTAACCCAGGATAGAACTGGGAAAATGAACAGCAGACCACAATCTGATCTAAAGGAATATTGGCAACTGCTTGCTGCTAGATGAGGAAGAGCTGATCTTCCTAAAACAAGGAACTCTAGATAGGCTGACTAGATTCAGCAGATGGACAAGCACTGGAGAACAGCTGGGGGTGTTGACAACACAGTGGACAGTAACAGGGATTACAGAGTATATAGGCTCCAGTGTGTGTGGGGGGGACTATGGGAGGGTGCCATTTGGGATGTGGTTATATAGATAAATAAGATTGTTTGGGATATTCTGTATGAAATAACACACACAAAAATCAACAAATAAAAAAATGAGTTATATTTGAAGGAGAAGCATGAAAATTTACTTCATGTTAATTAGTAGAGTTGAAACACAAGTATCACTGAAATCTACCTGATGACTTTATATCCATGCTCAGGTACCAAGGATCTCAGAAAGTAACTGACTGTGGCTAGTGATAATCAGATATATAGAGATTATAGGCAGATGTGCAAACACCTAAGTGTTAGTAGCATTAAAATGAGTTTTTCTGTATGAAACAGTATATTTTAAATGAAATGGAGATCTTTTTTAAAGATTTTAAATTTCATTCAGTTTTATGTCTTATAAGGTTTAT